GGCTAACCCTGTGACGTTCAAGCATACGATGGCGCGGGCGCGGCGCGTGTCCATGATGCAAAGCGGGCTTCACGGTCGGCGTATGCTGCTGACATTTACCGTTTTACACCACTGACGCTAGTTTGGAACCGCATCAGGCTCATGTCTAGCAAATGTTCATCGATGCTCGTACCTGTACTAAGTGTGGGTGGCACAACGGCGACCAACACTGTCGGAGTGTGTAACATATTGGGGCACACGTTCTCGGAGCTGTCCAAACTATGCTCTCGGAACCCTGAATTTATGCGGCATAAGAGACTGGGCGAGTGTCACCAAGAAAACTTCCACTCATCAGGCACCGATAGTTGCAATGCTTTTTACAGGGTTTTAATGCTTGATCTCAAGATTATCATATCATATATCATGTTAAAATTACATCATATAACACGTTACATTATATTATGTTATATATTGGCATCAACTGACCGTCCACAGTCCACTACGTGGATAGTACGTGTCATTAGCGGGATAGATAAACGGTATGTCAAAAAAACAACGGAAAGTAACAAGGGATAAAAACGCATGAGGGCATGCACGCATAAACAGAATGAGGCTACCCCATGGCACAAAAAAGGGCCTGGCAGCGCGCTTAAAACTTGTTGAATGCCATTACCAAGACCAGAAGCGAAGCACCAGGCTCTGGTCAAACTACAAACGTGTTACAGGACATATTGTGTCGACAATGCTGATAATCTCAGGTCCTGCCTTGATAGGTTGCAGGTTATGTCGTAAAACTGAACTAATTTAGTCGCACAGCTGAAACCGAACCCCGTCCGCCTCGCAGTAAAGCTCACCCAGGGGCTGCTTTATGATCCATGAAAGAGCTGTACAATGTCAACATGGTGAGGCTTACCCAGTTCAACGTTTAATCTGTCGCACTGCGGCAGGCCACTCACCGACAGTGGACGATGGGAGTGAATTTGAAGTTTGGCTCTGCCGGACTAGCGAAGGGATGCAACATCTATCTTGTTTTAGGTTAGTTTTCGACGCCGTGTGGCAAATGCGCGCCGACAATTTTTGGTCTTCACACAACGAGGAAAAAGACAGTTAAAAGAAACGTCGTCCTCCGATTTTCGGGCAGGGCTTTGTGCCTCTTAAGAAAGGTTGCGCTACCTTCCCTCTATGACTTATACACTAAATCCATCATGATTCTGCCACAATTGTTGAAACACTGGCCCAAAACTCTGGAAATTTCAGAATCCTGTAATGTTTGGAGTCCATCTGCTCTCTGTCCATATTCAACCAGGTTTATGAGGTTTTGGTGATTCTCGCACATCATTACGCATTTGTTACGTGAACAATTGTGTGATAAACGCAATCTAGGATTGTAGCTTCGGAATTCTCTATGTAATGTCAAATAAGATGCAGCTTTTCAACTAGGTTTCCGACCACGTTGTGGGTTCTGATTCAGGTGATTTATGTTCTGCATGACTTCAGGTCTATTTTCAGACGATCCCAAGTTTTTTGAAAAAATGCATATATGTAGACCAATATTACACGGATGGCCTGAAAAGATGTCTCAACGATGCAGCAACCTTGAAACATGACATTCGAAGATCACACACTGACCTCAGCTGTTGGCATCCCCAAAACACTAACAAACGGCAACTCTTCTAGTTTTGATTTACCCTGCAGAACGTTCGCAGAGTATTTTGGCTCGCTCTGGCGTCAGGGTTCTCGCTAAGCAAGCTTGCCGCAAAGGCTATGGTCTCACCAGCGCAGTGGCACAATGTCAGTTCCACGGACAAGTTCTGCTGCAAGACCCTGATACACCATGCGATGTCACAGTACGGGCCGTCGCTGCACGGTGCTGGCTGCTGGTCGTCACCTGGTAACTAGACGTGAGAGACAGACTATGTCCGCACTGTTTTCTCGGACGCGAGCGGCAAGACCACTTCACACCGGCGACATTTCCGATGGCTATGTCGCCTCGGTGGCCGCGGCTGTTGCCTGACCAACAGGCTTATTATGACCAACAGGATTATGACCAGCCGCAGCAGGCTACCAGCGTCACCGACCGGTGACGTACGCAGTAGGCAGGATGACGTAGGAAGACATTCGTCCAACCAGAGATCGATTATTGGCGGCGAGGACGTCTCCAAAGCGCGTCGACCGAAAGTTCTCATTGGCCAGAGCTTGTGATGTCCAACCAACCGACTCAACTGACAACCAACCGAGCTATATGGACGACCGAGAGTTTCAGCATTATGTTCTCCCTATCGACCAGTAGTGGTACCACTGCGGACCACTGGTAAAAGAAATGAAAAATTGCTATTTGAAAACATGTCAGCCAGAATATCAGCAACGTACTTTGCAAACTTAAATGTGGTCATTATCACAAAAGCTCTTGTGAAGCATAAGGGTATGCATGCCTTCACGCCTCTATCTTGGGGTGAAGAAGCTGCTTATACGGTATTTAAAGCAATCACCTCTCATTCACGATGCCGAACTGTCATCGTCACATCACCTGATCACATGCAGCCGTCACTCACCTGATCAACAATGCTAAAAAAAAAAGCCGTCACATCAGCCGATTACATCAATCGCCATCACGATCTCCATCAGCCGTCACATCACCCTGATCACATCCAGCCGTCACATCACCCGATCACATCCAGCCGTCACATCACCTGATCACAATACAGCCGTCACATCACCTGAATCACAAATCCGCCGTCACATCGCCCGATCACATCCAGCCGTCACATCACCTGATCACATCCAGCCGTCACATCACCTGATCACATGCATCCGTCACATCACCTGATCACATGCAGCCGTCACATCACCTGATCACATCCAGCCGTCACAAGCCAGCGCCGCAGTCCACTGTGCACTGGGGACGGAGGACAGCAGAAGAAATGTCGAGAATGTTCCATACGTCTGTGACGTCAGCCGCGTGGGCAGCCACGGCAATCTTCACTGCATTATTATGAGTTATTTAGTGCATTAGCGAGGGACATTATTCACATCGATAAGACAGTTGTATTGGCCTTATTCCTCGGAGAAAAACCAGAAGAATGGAGATATAAATGGGTTGATATTTCGACAACACGCCTTCATTGAAACAATCACAGAGGCGATATCATTCTGCCATTGTTCCGATAAAGGCATGTTGCCGAAATATCAACCCAACTGTATTTCCATTCTTCTGGGTTTCTCCGAGGAAGCAGGCTAATGCCATTGCATTAGTATGAGCACGGTCCATAGGTCCCGGGTAAAAACTATCACGCGTTTAGCTCCCTGTGCCAAAATATCTGTCGTCTCACATGGCTTCACGCCTGAATTCTACATCAATACACTTCTTATCACAAGAAAGACAACTTCAGGCTCGTTTCCAGCGCTCTTAGCTGCGCCGGTCCCTGCATTCTCCAACATTGACATAGCGCTGAAATGATATTGCGCATCGACTTGTTTTGGCACTCTCTTGACGCCAGCATATGTGCAACGTCAAATATTAATGCGATTGAAGGTATCAGTGCATCAGTTGGTTCGGCCGGTGCTGCACGTAATCTCTTACAATGACCCAATTTTACTTCTTTTAACTACTGTTGCCGGCAGCTGCGCTGCAAGTGTGCAGGAACACGCACATTTTGGTGCGTTGCCTAGCAACGCTTGACTGAGTGGTTGTGCGGCCCTTGATATGGACACATTCAGCCGTTATTGGCAACGGACCTGTACGTTGGTTCTGCCTGACATGACCATTCTGTCCTAGGCTGATTGAGCTACAGCTGCTTTGACCAGATATTTAAAGGCGTGCTTATAAGAAAAACAAGACGGGGAGCTAGGCGATGTGCCCCGAGTAAACGACAGTGAATCGGAGAGTGGGGGGCCTGGGGAGGGAGGGGGGGGGGGATAGGGGCATCTCTGCCCTGAGTCATTGTTCCATTCTGCGCTCCCGGGGCCGTGCTAACCTTCTCCACGCATCTCACAATATCGAGATCCTCAAAGTCTCGTGCCTCAACTTCAGGCCAATCCTGAACTTCACCTCAGCGGCGCTCATCAACGCTCGGATTCGGCCCTGACTCTGCTCCGACGCTGTTGAAAACCGAGGCCAGCAGGTGGTGCGTACTGCGTCTCACCGCAGAGCTCTACATCCATCCGCCTGCCTGCCTGTTGAGAACCGAGGCCAGCAGGTGGTGCGTACTGTGTCTCACCGCAGAGCTCTACATCCATCCGCCTGCCTGCCTGTTGAGAACCGAGGCCAGCAGGTGGTGCGTACTGCGTCTCACCGCAGAGCCGTATAGCCATCTGCCTGCCTGCCTGTCTCGCCTGTCCGGAGAGATTTCTTACACGGGCAGCGGGGTTTCAGCGTTTTACATTGGTGGCACATGGTACATATCGCAACCTCACATGTCATACGGTGTGACCTTGGGCACATGCCACGGTTTTCTCTTTGACGCGATACCCAGAGCATACGTCTTGTATTTGGAAGGATTTCATTGACAACTGCAAAGCGTAATCAATTTGCAAAGGACTCTCCTATTGCCAGCAATAGTAGTCACGCACCATGGACTTTGGTGACCGCCTGACCCGCGGCGGCCCGACCCTGACCCGGGCCAGGCCCGACCGGTGGGTGCAGCCCACGGGCTGGGACAGCGGCCATCTGACCCACGGCGGACCTGACCCTGGGTCAGGCGTGGCTCCGGTCCGACCCGTGGGCGCGGCTCACGGACCGGGTCGGCGGCCGTCTGACCTACGGAAAACCTGACCCTGGGTCATGCGTGGGTCCAGCCCGACCCGTGGGCGCGGCTCACGGACCGGGGCGGCGGCCGTCTGACCTACGGCAAACCTGACCCTGGGTCAGGCGTGCGTCCGGCCCGACCCGCGGGTGCGGTCCACGGACCGGGACGGCGGCCGGCCGCCGGCGGCGTTTCTATGTATGTCGGTTTCCCGGGACAGTGCGGCGTGTTGGTGCCAACGGTGGCCGGGGGGCGCCGGGCCGGGCGGCGGCGTCAGTGGTGGGACCGAGACCTCAGCACAGGGCGGCCCCGCTCCTCGGCTGCGCCGCCATCAGCCACCGGCCCGCAGGTGGGTCACACGGCTCCGCCGCAGGTCATCAGGTGGGTCGCGTCACAACGCCGCAGGTCATCAGGCGGGTCGCACGACACCGCCGCAGGTCATCAGGTGGGTCACACGGCACCGCCACAGGTCAGCAGGTGGGTCACACCGCACCACCACAGGTCATCAGGTGGGTCATGCCGCGCCGCCATAGGTCATTATGTTTTTGATTGGATCAAGTTGATCTAAGGCTGCGCTGACATATCTTGCAACAAATGCAATTGACAAATGAAAAGTTAGGTCTGGTGCATTATTTTTGATACGAAAGGCTACAACGATACCACTGAGTGCAGTTTTTTATTTTCTTTTTCAATTTTATTCATATTTACGCACTATGTTGTAATGCGTAGGGTGTCTTGCTTGCGCTTTGCTTGCTTGTGCCTGATGCTTCTTGTGGTTTATATATAACAGGTTTAACAGTTTAACAGTTTAACAGTTATAACAGTTTATATATCAAAGGCTGTCAATAAACTTGCTTTTATCTCAGTGTTAAGCATGTTCTAAAAAATGCCGAAAATGGATGTAATGGCCGAATGGTTAGCGTCATGGACTCCAATGTTGGGGCCCGGGTTCGAATCCCGTTTGCTCCATGGCCCATGGGCGTTAATAGGGCCAGTGTAGTTGCTGGCGCTTCATAAAAGCGGTGTGATGATGTGCGTCAAGTACCATAACCCCCCCCCCCCCCCACCACCACACACACACACACACACACATACTGAAATGTTAACATTCTGCCAATGACACGCAGAGCTCATAAGTGTTTGAGCTGGTCCGAAGTTTCACGACGGATGTTTGGATCCTGTTTCTTGACCAAGCGTTTCATAAAAGCGTTGTTCGCTGGCGGGCAACATTTCATCCGGCTACGTTGGTCTATTCGTGCGAAATGGGTGATGTTAAAGTATCGAGCGGCAACAGCCATTGCAGCGTCTGCTGGTGAAGTCGGTGAAATTGCAACGTCTGCTGGTGAAGTCGGTGACATTGCAACGTCTGCTGGTGAAATCGGCGACGCCGGCGGCTATATAGCAAAAAAGCTTATAGGAAGCGGCGCCCACCATCCTCAATGTCCCTAGTCATCATTGTGTATCATCGATGGATGTTCACTGGTACCATGGGTGTTTACTGGTGTTCACTGTGCGTCTCTCAGCAGCACCATCGACGGTGTTACGACTGCTGTTATAGGCTGTAACGTCATGGATGCGCAGCCACCACAGGATCTAGCGTTGTGAATGTACAGCCACTACATTAACATGGGCAGCGAGAACGGTTTTACAGCGTTTGGTTAGAAACTTTCATCTGGACGTTCTTAGTGAAACATTAAGCCATGCTGAAATCTGTGAGAGCCTCTTTTTTGTGAAGTTCATTTTGAAAATATACTCCTATTAAGAAAACATCTGGACATACCCGAAATGATAACGTGAAGATCTCGTTATTGATAACCAAGTTGGCCTTTGAACACACCTACCAAGAGCCAAAAAATGTTGAAGAAGAACATTATTTATGGCAGGATGTCGAGTTATATCAAGAAACTGCGAGGTGTATCGACACTTCACTCTAATTTAATCGTTTTAAAACTTTAAGCTACGCATAACTGATCAAGCTTCCTCTTTCTGAGCAAATCGCTGACGCAGGACTGTCTGATTTCAGCTAGGCCTCAACTGAAGTACATGCAAAAGTACTTACCAATCGGAAATTATGAGTATCTGTTGTCAACAACTCCCATTTTCTCCGCGCCACTCTGTAAACATACGTTCAAGGACTGATCAACAGCTTATAATACACTAAATGAGATGAACTTGGTATTATACGTATTTATTTTGAGCAACCACGATGAAATAAGTGGATGCAGGCGTTCAGAAATTCTCATCATTCTTTATGTTGACATCACTGTTGTGCCGGTGATGCACGCTACAGCTATTCTTCGGTAATATAAGCTGATTTATATTGTCAGACTGGTTACTACCAGCCGCTTTCGTCATTGTGTCCAAGCCAGTCCGTGTTTGACTACCTGATGACGTGGTTTCAAAATAAATTCAAGCGTATAACCCACTTAGCCTACTTGGCTTAAAATTTGCTGGACCAAAACTCAGTACTTTAAATATAAGCGATTGCATAGGTTATTGCTGCCTATTGCACTAAAACGGAAGGAAAGGATGCATGTAGTAACCGACGCGGCCATTCATAACTTACTGAATGAGTGCAATGCTTACTTCATGGTGGTATCAGTAAAGCAGTGGCGTTGGAGTGAATAGGCTGGTGGCTGCGAGATGACTTTGCAGAGATAAACGTCCGAATGGCACATATTAGAGATCGTTTCATACCACGCAAGTGTTAGACTGAAGCATACATTTAACCTGTAAGGGCTAAGGTTGATCCTCTGAACGGATTAGCAGTTCTACTATTGCGCAAAGTCCTTGTGGTGCTGCGAGTGGAAATCCGTCTCGAGAATCAACCTTGACGCCGCTCAAATGAGATCCAGGGCCTGGACAAATCTTAACTCGCACGAATGGATTTCATGCAGATTTCATTCAGAGACACCACTTTCCGGTAAGGGGTCGTTTTCACCGCCCCGTACGGCGCCGCCTGGTGTTAGCTGCGACGACCAATGATGCGCGGGCTACGGAGACTGCAAGATTGCGAGCGCACATGCGCAAGATTTGCTGATCATTTTTGCTAATCGATTCTGGAAAAAGGGTGATCACGTCCGATGTGAGATCTCAGCTGGTGAGATCACCTGTCTTCCGATCCATCCGTCCGTGGCGGGAGTGGGTTCGAGTCGGTTCAGACGCTCGCTATTACGTCAGAGGGCAGAACAGATCATGCCGAGCATTCCGACATCTTGATTTTTGCTACAAAATTCTGGCGTTATCGCTGAATTGCACCGCACCGCTTACCGCGAGCCTTGACACCAGAAATCCATGTCATCCAAAGACTTGAATTTGTCGTTTAAGAATAGAAAGATCGCTGCTCACATGGGCCTCGAAATCACTGAAACGCTGTTCTCAGTGCCCTACGTTTCGCGAGTGCCAAACATTCTTTTAGCTTGAAAAGTGCAGAATGCTTGGAACACTGACACCAAGGGCATATTCAAGATGTACTGCTCACGCCGCTGACACCGATGAGGGTGAACGGTAAAGCTGACACCAGTCACCCGCAAGTGCCGTCAGACGTCGGAAAGCGATAAATGCACCACAGCAATACGGTGCCCGCGCCGACTTCGCAGGAAATCCGTCTACGTAACGGGGAAATGTGTTGGTACCTTGTCCACTTGCAAGTTAGAGGATGGCTCGGGCTAGCCGACATTTCTAAAAATCTGACGGACGCTGTTTGTAAAGATTAAACCTGAATCTTTTAAATGGATGCTTTTTGGGGGAGTTAGAGCTCAAGCTAGGCAGTGATTATTATGTGAGCCCTGAGCTCTACCATGTGATCACGCAATTTTATGTCAACGACAGCATTTGGTTTAAAGCTTTGTTTTGTTTAAAGTTTAAAGCAAAAGTTTAACGTGCCGCAATGCTCGGCGCGACCCGTCGCTCCCTCTGGCGTCAGCTGATTTCCCTCTGACGTCAACTGATTGCTTTGGGCGCGGTCTCTGCTACTGGCCGCAGGCCATACCTGTCAAAGGCGAAACTGCGAGCCTTGCAACCAACTGAGCTCCGAGACGAAGGTCTCGAGGCTAATATCAAGAAGCCCTCGAGCGTTTCGTGCTCGCGCTGGTTCCTGCTGTACGCAGAAACACATCGGCACGAGGGCCGTGTCAGTATGCTTCTAGCGCGCCATCCGGCTCCTCAGCACGGCATGGAATTGAACCCGGGCCTACGAAAGTCCGGACTGGAATTGCGACAACCCCAGTTCTTTTTTTTTCGCTGCGTAGCATGCGCTTAGCACGCGTCATCAGCAAGCTCCAGGACCAAAAGACACGTCACTGCTACACTACATCTACAATCCGGGAGGACCCAGCTGGTCGCGACACAGCCGCGTTTCTATGCCACGGCGCTGCGCGGTCATGGTCGCGAATAGCTGGCGGCCACGTCGTGAGCCGGCCCCGGCAGTCAATGTTGCCCGGGGCGCGGCGCCATGTTTGTCGCGGACGTGTGCGCGCCGCCCGGCGTCAGGGCAACTGGCAACCCTGGCAACCGGCCCGACGCCAACAGCTGACTGCCGTTATGCAGAGACCGCAGCGACGACCCAGGCGGAGGGACACAGGAAAGCTGTGTTCTCTTCGCCTTAACGTGCAGTTTTTATCCGAGCACCGCGTTCAGACGAGCCCTTTTTAATAGAGGTGGGTCTAGCCTCCGGGCGCCGTTTCCCAGCAACCGTTTCCAACACATATGCGGGGGAGAGGACAAGCTCAGTGCAACTGTGTTGAGAAAGCAATTTATTTAAGGTCTGTAAATTTCTCACCTCACAGCAATGCCAGCGTGTTTTCAGTCACATGTAGCGAGGAAACAACATTTGCGGTGCGGACGCAGTAGGAGAGGAACTTGCTTACGAACAAATATTTTTACCGCCATCTATGCTAAAACATGTATTGCGATGTCACTTGGAGAACCGCTGCATACTTCCGTTGGAGGGTTTCCGTTGACTGTTGGACGCATGGTGAGAAGTGAAGAACGCTCGTGGAAATGCGTTATCTCTTTTTGACCGTGCGGACTATTGAGATATCCCCTGGTTACGCTACTTAACAACGTGATAGACGTGGGTGCAGACAGCAGAAGTCTTGCCATTGCCTTCCGACTTCCTCTGGCCCAAAACCTTCTCTTTTTCTATACATCTTGCATGTAAAAATCAAAGGGAATCCTCCACTATCGCGTCACGGCCAAACAGGGAATAGTTAAGCTCGGCAGATCGTGGAAATTTGCATTCCATTAATCTAGTTTGGAAAAGTTGCTAATAACAGTGTCGTGCGCTTGCTTGTGCTCCACCTGCCCATAGCTGTCTTTCGAAACACTTCAATGGGCCTAGCAGTGAGAAACAGAAGTCCACCTACAATTCAATGGAACATCGAAGCGCCGTAATCCTGTTCAGCTAGTACACCACGGCTGGAATCGGCCCGTCACTTGGAGGTGTGCGCTCACCATCTCTCCGCCGAGGAGTGTTGCCCGCCCCCCACCCCCCCACCCCCCCCCCCCCCCCTCCTCCCCCGCCTCTGCTCTGACCGCGCCGCCAGACTCCGCTCTTGGCTGGTGGCGCCCTGCCCCCTGTGTCAGGGCGGGCCTCGATGTTCATTGGCTGGTGGCGCCCACCCCCCTGTGTCAGGGCGGGCCTCGATGTTCATTGGCTGGTGGCGCCCTGCCTCTGTGTCAGGGCGGACCTTGGTGTTCATGTCTTGTGATACCGCCGCCGACGGCGGTCCCAACAGGCGTCTAACCAAGCTCAGTCATCTGGGGTGGAACACGGGCACTTCGACATATGGCAGCTTTCACCGCAGCTTTCATTCACCGCAGCTTGGACCTGTTTCTTAGCATTGTGACGTTGTAACGTGCCGGTCCCGGCAGGCTGGTCCAATCCGTTTGACCGGTGGTCTTCACTAGCCCCAGTCGCGGCCGGAGGGGAGGGTCGGGTGATCCCGTACAGACCCATGCCGCGCACGTACACAGTCACAAGTGTGTATTGATGTTAAGCGGGGCTGCAAGGGCAGCCAGGCTCTCCTTCTTTCTACGCAGTGTTATATTACCCGGGGGTGTAGTTTCGCAAAATCAGTTGAGGGTGCTGCGCAGTCAAAAATGGGCGAGCCGTTTGAACTTGCCCACTTAATAGCCCAAAAACGAGTCTTCCCCAGAGTTGGCACACTTTCTTGTTAACTTTAGAGAACTAGGTCCTCACCAAATGAAAAGGGAACGCCACCCCCCGCATAAATGAACTCACTTCCAGTAAAAGAATGATACTTGATAAGTCCTGGCACTAAAGGATGCGCAATCTGAATGAATACATGCTGAGTCTCAGCGCCAGTATCCCAAGCTTCAGAAGATGCAGATCCAGTCATCAGACTCCGATGACATGCCCAGGCTCTCTCCGCACGTTATCTTGCTGACGAATCACCATCACCAACAAATACAGACAATTAAGCGGGCTTGCGGATATCACAGCCTCTCGCCTGAAACAACGCCAGCTCGTCAAGCAATCTCTGAAAATGATGTGCTGTTGACCAAACAATGCCGGCCGCCAGAACCGGTCGGCGCCTCAGCGCGGCCGACTGCTGCTGACAGCCCTGACCTGACTGTACACCGTCTCCACAGCGGAGGTGGGGCACGGGTCACCAAGAACGTGCACGGCTGAGGCAGCGCCACCGCAGCCTCCCGAGCAGTCACCATGGCTGGCCGGCCATCTTCAGGGAAAGAGGTGCGTCCGTGCCCTGTGTTGCATGTGACAAAGTGTGCTGCGATCCGTGGCGGGCGCATGTGTGCATGGTAAATTAGCTTATGAGAAGCATGGCTTTAAGCTCCTTGAAAGAGCAATAGGAGACATTTCTATGACACGTTACACAAAGCATCTGATAAGCTTCCTCGGGCCTTGACGTTGCGAGCATATCGCGCCTTCTGAAAGCGAACGACCGTAACTTACCGCACGCGCGGAAGAGCAGCACGGCGTAACATACCGCACGTGGGTAAGCAACACGGCGTAACTTACCACACGAGCGGGTAAGCAGCACGGGGTAGCATACCGCACGTGGGTAGGCAACACGCCATAACTTTCCGCACGCACGGGTGAGCAGTACGGCGTAGCATACCGCACGTGGGTAAGCAACACGCCGTAACTTACCGCACGTGGGTAAGCAACACGGCGTAACTTACCACACGAGCGGGTAAGTAATGCGGCATAACTTGCCACATGCGGGTAAGCAACACGTCCGTGACGCTCGGCCTTGTGGCATTTCGTGGTTTTGTGCTTCCTTTGCTCCCGTCAAACATCAATGTGTGAACGACTAAATCACATTCCAAAAAGTTTTGGAGCTTGAGCTGCACTGGGCAGCAAGCAAACAACAAATGTATTGGGAAGCACTGAACCTTATTTTAAATTATTGCTGTTCAAGTAACTCCCTCATGTCCCTTGAAGCCTGGTACATTGCTGTTCATAGTGAGGTGTATACGGCAAGCCTTTTGAGTGAATGGAAGGTGGCTGGTATCTGAATTGTAATTGTGAAAAGTGGTATTAATTATGCAAACCCTGCAAGTTGAATAAAAATATAACTATGTTAGGAATCATGCGATATGATCTGCGTAGCACGTGTCCGTTGTAAGCCTCGCAAACTCCCCGTATTCAGGGGCCACGCGATCTGTTCCTGTTCTGTGCCTGGGGCACATCTCGTAAGTGTTTAATATTCAGCTGGTATTTGGACAGAGAGCATCCGTCGTAAGCCTCGTAAATGTATGGTATTCGGCTGTTGCACGGTTGATACTCGAGATGAGCCTTTTTTGCCAATGATAATAATAAATAGATACCGTGATAATAAATGACAAATAGCCGATGAAGTTTACGCCCCCTTAAAGATCTCAGATAAGCCTCGTGTATGCATGGTTTTTAGACGGTATCTGATTGTCTCTGTCTCGCCGAAGCAGCAGCTCTGGGTTGCAGTTGACGCCCCTTAAAACTCTCAGATGAGCCTCGTGTACGCGTGTTCTTGGCCGGTAGCTGACCTGTCTCTGTCTCGCCGAAACAGCAGCTCTGTGTTGCAGTTGACGCCCCTTAAAACCCTCAGATGAGCCTCGTGTACGCGTGTTCTCGGGCGGCAGCTGACCTGTCTCTGTCGCGCCCGAGCAGCAGCTCTGGGTTGCAATTGACGCCCCTTAACATTCTCAGATGAGCCTCGTGTACGCGTGTTCTCGGGCGATGGCTGACCTGTCTCTGTCGTGCCCGAGCAGCAGCTCTGGATGAAGGATGACCCGAGCGCCCTGGAGGCGTACGGAGATGACCCCGATGTCAGGCAAGAAGAGCCCAAGGGCTGCTGGGGATCCTTCACCAACTGCATTGGGGGTGAGCGCCGCCGAGGAGGACGAGGGATTGGGAGTGGGCTCAGGGTGGAGAAGGACCAGATGTGGCCGTGGGAGGGATGGGACAGGGAAGGGAGGGTTAGTCACGACAAGATGATAAAAGAAACACTGAGGGGAGGTTGACTGCGGCAGAAAGGCACGGATGGTGGGATGGGCTGAGAAAGTGACCGATTGTGATCACATACGTTTTTTGTCATATGAGGCAGCTGCGCAACACTTTCAAAGATTATGTTTTCCGTACGCAAACAGCCCTGGTCAAACCGAATGCAAACAGGACCGGGGTGCTTCAGCCCGACTACTCAGCTTTGCGTATGATGACGTCACTGCGGAGGATACGCGCGTGCTGTCGTGCGCTATTTACACCTCCTCAACGTGGCGCTGGCGGGTATCGACCAATGGATCTACGGTCGTAAGTCCGGAGTATGACCACTGGCGTCATCCCGCCAGAACACTGACGTCATCCCGCCAGAACAGCGACGTCATGCCACCAGAACGGTGGCGTCATCTCGCCAGAACAGTGACGTCATCCCGTTTCAGGAATGTGGACCACACGCCAAATGACACACACCAATGACAGGGAGATAGTGGTACGGACGACGCTGCGAGAGCTGGTGGTCTACATCGTGTTCCTGATAGTGCTGTGTATCTGTGAGTATCTGGTGATCCTAGTGCAGCACATCTGTGAATATTGATGCCCGTAATAATGCACACCTGGGACTACCCAGGTGTGTATCTGAAGTATCTTTTGCCGAAAGTGTCGCGTTTTTGTAAGCCGTCTCACGCCATAGCGTTGTGAGCATTGAGAATATGAAGAAAGCGAAATGCTGCGATGTTTCTGTGAGCGCCTAAACTAAATACACCTGCTATTTTGTGTGATAATTTGTGCTTCCTAGAGCACCGCTCGCGTGGAATCCCGCCGCTGACGCTCGTTACTCCCGCCACTGACGCTGGTTACTCCCGCCACTGACGCTGGTTACTCCCGCCACTGACGCTCGTTACTCCCGCCACTGACGCTCGTTACTCCCGCCACTGACGCTCATTACTGCCCGCCAGTGACGCTCGTTACTCCCGCCACTGACGCTCGTTACTCCCGCCACTGACGCTGGTTACTCCCGCCACTGACGCTCGTTATTCCCGCCACTGACGTTCGTTACCGCCCGCCAGTGACGTTTGGGATGACGTCTCCCACCATGTACTACTACACCAAGGTCCTCTCCGAACTGTTCCTGGAGGCGCCGTACCCGGACACGAGAAACAACTTCAAGGGTTCTACGCAAGTGTTGGACTTCTGGAGGGTGAGTCCTCGCCGCCGTCCTCCCAGCGCGGATGGGAGACGGACTCCGCGCGTCGTCAGAAAAAAACTGTTTCCGGACAAATTGGTGCTGGTTAGGATGAAATGCATTTCAAATCTGGAATTCCCGACCGCGTAGATCTCGATATACATTTTTGCGGTTTAAGAATATGGTACGTTCATTTGAAACCACTTTCCCACGCAAAGTGTACGTTAAGAGTTACGCGTTGTGTTGGGCTCTCGGCGTCCTCCTCCTGGTCCCCGCGGCTCGCAGCTGTTTGACAGCTGCATTCCCAGCTTCAAACAAATTATAGGTGACTCAGTGACGAACAGCTCGTTCTAAAACGCTCCGAAGGGTTTGAATTCATGATCTTCTAATCCGGTCATGATTTGGGAGCTGTACCCCGGGCGCGGTTTGCCTTTCGTATCCCGGGTACGATTTGCCTGTCGTATCTCTGGTACGGTTTGGCTGTCGAGCCCCTGGTACGGTTTGAATGTCGTACCTCTGGTACGGTTTGGCTGTCGAGCCCCTGGTACGGTTTGACTGTCGTACCTCTGGTACGGTTTGGCTGTCGAGCCCCTGGTACGGTTTGACTGTCGTACCTCTGGTACGGTTTGGCTGTCGAGCCCCTGGTACGGTTGACTGTCGTACCTCTCTGGTACGGTTTTGGCTGTCGAGCCCCTGGTACGGTTTGACTGTCGTACCCTGGCCGGCAGTTTGTGGAGGGTCCGCTGGACGGACGGCCTGTACTGGGACTCGTGGTACGACCGGGCCCGCACCAGCGTCGACGAGCGCGACAACAACATCCTCTACGAGAACCGCATGCTCGGGGTGCCGCGGATGCGACAGGTACGTGCGCAGGCTCGTGGCTCGGGGTGCCGCGGATGCGACAGGTACGTGCGCAGGCTCGTGGCTCGGGGTGCCGCGGATGCGACAGGTACGTCCGCAGACTCGTGGCGTGCGCGGCAGGCGCGTGAGGACCCTCCCGTTCTGCCGTGGGCTGACAGGCGAGCATGAGTGGAGAATACGACAGAAACAACACTGGCCATCATGATTAAGTCAGAGTGGTTGCACAGTTTTCACAGTGACCAGGAATCGAGTATTTTGGTTTTGTAATCAAAGAGCAAGGGTTTGCTACGAAAGGCACGCTGGTGTTCCAGCTTTGCATCACATGACGATTGTCTGTAGCATGGCGATCCTAGATGGACTCGCTCGACGAGGAACCGTTCCAGAACACAGATTTTTAGGATGGTTCTCAGAAAGTTTTCTCTTTGTTTTTCCTTTAAAGGGATACAATTTCACAGACATCTTAAAAACGGACCGGACATCAGAAAAATTGAAGCAGCTTCAATGTCACCAGCATTATTTGTTGCTGGAAACAGATGGAAGACGCTCTCTGAGTTTAGCCCTTCAAAAATCCATCGTCATTTGTCGAAAAAATTCTGGGAAGAAACAAAGTGAGCAGTACATTGCATGTCCCCCCCCCCCACCCCACACACAGACTTGCTATGGGAGCTGAACATAACACACACGGTGATGAATGGAGTATTGCCCTCAAGGGCCATTTCAACTCCACTCATTTCCCGGGCCTTTCTGACGACCCTGCTGAGACCGAACACCTTGATTCACTTTCGTGACGCACGAAGCAAGCTTACGAGTGCGCTACTACGAAGCTATAGTGGTCGACGCTTTTGGTGCTGACATCAGGAGCACCTGCCTTCGTTGCATATTGATGCCTAAAGCTAAATGCAGTTGGTGACGACATTTGGGCGCTCGTGACGTCGCTCTTATGGCTCTCCAGCTCGTGGCACTTCGGATCCACACAGTGGTGGGCGCGCGGCCCTCACCGAAGCACGTTGGCAGCAACCTCTCCATGGCGCACTTTTTCTTCTAGCCCATAGCGTTCACGTGTTAAGGGCCTGCTCTTCACAGAGCTGTGGATCGAATTATACTCGACCAATTTTGACAAACCTTGCAACAACAAAAAAAAAGCTAATTTGTCTTGAGAGCCGACCCGTGGCCAATTTTGTCTAGAGAACCCCAACTCTCACAACGTACTGGAACAAAGTTTTTGTCTACGGTACGCCGTGCATTTCCGACTTTTGCGGTGAACCCAACGGTTTGTGTAGCTATGTCGGTGGCACGCTGCTTTCGTAACGAAAAGGTTTTGTGTTCGAAGCCGGGGCGTCCAAGAACTTTTGTGACTGTTTCCACGCTTCAGACACGGTGGGATGCCAGCCATTGTCAAAACATGGCCTTAGCTAGAGAGAAATGTACAGCTGGAGATCATCTGCGGGCCGATCAGACAGACTCGGGACTAGACTCGAGACTGGAGTCAGACTCAGGACCAGACTCGAGACTGGAGTCAGACTCGGGACCGGACTCGAGGCTGGAGTCAGACTCAGGACCAGACTCGAGACTGGAGTCAGACTCGGGACCAGACTCGAGACTGGAGTCAGACTCGGGACCAGACTCGAGAATGGAGTCAGACTCGGGACCGCAAGGCATCGCAACTGGCGCGTCCCATCACCCGTATCCGCCGCCTGAACCTGCAACCCCCCCCCCCCGCCCTCCGCGCAGTCCTGTTCAGAGCCGTGCACCCGCGGCTGGGTCACGGCGGCGCAGCGTCGGCAACATCAGCGCCGGCGGCCCGGGGCCGGGGTCACGCGGCGCTTGTTGACGTGCTACCACGGCCACCGTATTGAGCGCGGCCCAATCTGTGCCCGCGGGCGGCCGCGGCCGGGCCGGGCAGGCAGGTGGCCGCCGGCCCCCGAGGCGTTCCGCCGGCCGTGCCGACCGGCCGCCGCCACCGCCGTAGTCCGGGAGATACCCTCGACCGCTCAATAGCCATGACGTCACCGCCGCCTCCTGGACCGCGGCGCAGGGGGGAGGGGGGGGGGTGACCCCCGAGCCAGGTGCAGCGGGACGGGGGGCTGTGGCGTAGCAAGGCCATTGCTAGGACGGCGAGTCAATACGGACCCGGGCCGACTGCCGCTTTTCTTCAGGGTACCGCAGGGCGAGCCTGGAGTTTCGTTCGTTTTCGATACTTTCTCCCTGGTTTTGGTTAGTTCTGGGTACGGTCTCCCCGGTTTTGGTTAGTCCTGGGTACGGTCTCCCGGCTTTCGTTAGTTCTGGGTACGGTCTCCCCGATTTTCGTTAGTCCTGGGTACGGTCTCCCCGGTTTTGGTTAGTTCTGGGTGCGGTCTCCCTGGTTTTGGTTAGTTCTGGGTACGGTCCCTCTGCTTTTGGTTAGTTCTGGGTAAGGTCTCCCCGGTTTTGGTTAGTTCTGGGTACAGTCTCACCGGTTTTGTTTAGTTCTGGGTACGGTCTCCCCGGTTTTGGTTGGTTTTGGTTACTTTCTCCCTGGTTTTGGTTAGTTCTGGGTACGGTCTCCCCGGTTTTGTTAGTTCTGGGTACGGTCTCCCCGGTTTTGTTAGTTCTGGGTACGGTCTCCCGCTTTTGATTGGTTTTGGGTACGGCCTCGTGCGCAGGGTGAGGACAGGGCAAACAATGTTGGACAGCAATCGACCCAAAGGTAATCGGGGCGTTGGAAATCGTACAGCAGCAGCGACTTTCGCCACGGTTGTGTCCTCATCCGCTCTGAGAATGTGGATTGCAGAATTTGTTGGGTGATATCCGATACAAAATGAGCCTGGCGTGATACGTTATCGGCCTAAGCACAACATATAATCACCGTTGTTTTACCATCACGCATACCCTTGGGGTACCTCGCATCCAATTACGTATCTAAATGCCAAGGGGGAAATTGTACCTGCCTTAATGATACAACACAGCTCACGGGTAGCAGTTCACCTGGAGCGACAGTCGGGCGTAGCGTGGGGGTAGTCTAGTTTGATCGTCGATCACTAGTGTTTTGGTGTTCTTTTTGCAGAATCCGCCGGCCAAGTTTTTCCACACGTTATGGCCATGACGAATAGGCGCAAAATGAAGCAAGGCAGGGCACTCGTGTTGTCCGTCCATGCAAACAACGCGTAATCTTACACGCGCACAAACGTAGCCTCGAAGCTTCTTTCCGCTTACTGCACGAGCTGGGTTGCTGTTTGTGACAGATCATAGACGTTCCGCTTAAAACTCAGAATCGACTTTGACACACGTGCTTGGGGAGACATGCATCATGAATGTCATTCATTGCGGAGGTTTCCCGAAGTGGGCATTCCAGTCGCATACGTGTCGAGGCAAGGTACATTGTTGTCGCAACCTTGCGGCGTTGTCCGCCACTTCTAAGCGCTTGGAGACCTCGCGGCCTTGTCCAGCACTTCTAAGCGTGTGGAGACCTCGCGGCCATGTCCAGCACTTCTAGGCGTGTGGAGACCTCGCGACCTTGTCCAGCACTTCTAAGCGTGTGGAGACCACACGGCCCTGTAGAGCACTTCTATGCGCGTGACGTGCTGAGTACACGGTGTTTTCGTCCACGCCTCCCCGTGTTTTTAAGAACATTGTAGGTGTTAAGTCATGATGCATAATGTGTTGTCCAATTCGACGGATATTTGCAGGCGCATATATCGTAACTTCAGCCAACCATGAAAATATATCCCTGCATTCGATTCAGGATCGCATCCAACTAATGTTCAACATACCAAAGCGGTAACACAGCGAACATTCTTTGGAATACCTACGCTGAAGCAAATCGATTGTGTACGCATCAAATTTGACAACCCCTGCTTTCATGGCCGGGGCTGATTGACGAGCGTTTGCAAAAAAGAACGGTTGGCAGCAGCTGAAAGTCTTTTAACGATTCTGCGGGTCTGTTTCATCCCGAAAATAAAAGCGTCACCCTTGTGGTTGTGGTTCAGGACCTACACGAACGTCTGCCGAGCGCCGTTGTGTTCAAACGTGGCTAGATCCTGGAGTGTCCGGTACAGCAAACTCGTGATTCCGCTGTCCGCTTTTCACGCTTAATTTGGGTACTGTAGTGCTCGATCATGCTCAAACGATCTCTGCTTTGGCCGTCCTCGATTAATCTCGCGACCCTTGACCTTTCCTTACCCCGGCCCTGACCTCTCTGACGCTCCGTGACCCGGGGTCGCCAGTTACGAGTCACCGACGACTCGTGCAACGTGCATGAAAACTTCGCCGGCGCTATCGACAAGTGCTACAGCGTCTATTCGGAGAACATCGAGGACAAGAACGCCTTCGGGCCCAAGAACGGCACAGCGTGAGTAGCCGCGGCTGTTGAGTGGGCGCTCAGCGTGGTGTGATGTTACCATCGGACCCAGGGACAGCATGGCGCGACCGTGGCGAGCACAGCGAAGGGGCTGCATGGTGTGAGGGTGGCGAGCACAGCGAACGGGCTGCATGGCGTGAGAGTGGTGCGAGGCCTTTGATTGACGCGGCGTGAGCGTCCGCAGAGGTGCAGCGTGAGCGCTGCACGGCGTGATGCGGCTGTCAGACCCAGGAGCTGAGTGGGGCTGTCAGACCCAGGAGTTGGGTGTGGCTGTCAGACCCAGGAGTTGGGTGTGGCTGCCCGACCCAGGAGTTGGGTGTGGCTGTCAAACCCAGGAGTTGGGCGTGGCTGTCAGACCCAGGAGCTGAGTGGGGCTGTCAGACCCAGGAGTTGGGTGAGGCTGTCAGACCCAGGAGTTGGGTGTGGCTGTCAGACCCAGGACCTGGGTGTGGCTGTCAGACCCAGGAGTTGGGTGTGGCTGTCAAACCCAGGAGCTGGGTGTGACTGTCAGACCCAGGAGTCGGGTGTGGCTGTCAGACCCAGGAGTCGGGTGTGGCTGTCAAACCCAGGAGCTGGGTGTGGCTGTCAGGCCCAGGAGTTGGGCGTAGCTGTCAGACCCAGGAGTTGGGTGTGACTATCAGACCCAGGAGTAGGGTGTGGCTGTCAAACCCAGGAGCTGGGTGTGGCTGTCAAACTCAGGAGTTGGGTGTGGCTGTCAAACCCAGGAGTTGGGTGTGACTACAGACCCAGGAGTTGGGCGTGGCTGTCAGACCCAGGAGTTGGGTGTGGCTGTCAGACCCAGGAGTTGGGTGTGGCTGTCAGACCCAGGAGCTGGGTGTGGCTGTCAGACCCAGGAGTTGGGTGTGGCTGTCAAACCCAGGAGCTGGGTGTGACTGTCAGACCCAGGAGTCGGGTGTGGCTGTCAGACCCAGGAGTCGGGTGTGGCTGTCAAACCCAGGAGCTGGGTGTGGCTGTCAGGCCCAGGAGTTGGGTCGTAGCTGTCAGACCCAGGAGTTGGGTGTGACTATCAGACCCAGGAGTCGGGTGTGGCTGTCAAACCCAGGAGCTGGGTGTGGCTGTCAAACTCAGGAGTTGGGTGTGGCTGTCAAACCCAGGAGTTGGGTGTGACTACAGACCCAGGAGTTGGGGCGTGGCTGTCAGACCCAGGAGTTGGGTGTGGCTGTCAGACCCAGGAGTTGGGCGTAGCTGTCAGACCCAGGAGCTGGGTGTGGTTGTCAGACCCAGGAGTTGGGTGTGGCTGTCAGACCCAGGAGCTGGGTGTGGCTGTCAGACCCAGGAGTTGGGTGTGGCTGTCAAACCCAGGAGCTGGGTGTGACTGTCAAACCCAGGAGTTGGGTGTGACTACAGACCCAGGAGTTGGGCGTGGCTGTCAGACCCAGGAGTTGGGTGTGGCTGTCAGACCCAGGAGTTGGGTGTGGCTGTCAGACCCAGGAGTTGGGTGTGGCTGTCAAACCCAGGAGCTGGGTGTGGCTGTCAAACCCAGGAGTTGGGTGTGACTACAGACCCAGGAGTTGGGCGTGGCTGTCAGACCCAGGAGCTGGGTGTGGTTGTCAGGTCCAGGAGCTGGGTGTGACCCAGACCCAGACCCAGGCCCGGGGCCTGGGTGCGACTGTCAGGCCCAGGAGACGCTCGGGCCCGAGCCTCCTGAACCGCACGACACGCACTCGACACGGAGCCAGATTAACAGCTGCACGTACTGCCTTCATGTTCTGCACACATCAAATAGGATTATGTGGTTATCTCAAGTCACCATGGTCCGAGTTAAGTGTGCAACACATAGGATCTGACTGTGATGTTGCCTTTGCTAATATCTAAACGCAGACTAGGAATTGCACGCACCAAAGTAGAAAGGTTTGAGCGTAGCAGCGTAGCACCACGCGTAGCGGAGCACCGAGCGTAGTGTACCACCGTTTGAGCGTAACACCTAGCAGCCTAAGCCCTCATTCGCTTGGTCTGGATATGCGTGAAGCAAGCTGCGTAGGAGACCGTCGATGGCGCAGGTGGACAAGCTCACACGGCCACAGCGTTTGCAGATGCATGTGGGAAACTCACAGCACACACCAACGCATGCACACCCGCACGTATATCAAATATGTGTGATCAGCGAATGACGATCACTTTGTCTTTCGTTTCTTTTCTCTTGTCGAATGCTGTTGGACGAATCCTGTCACAAGGTGTATTTGATTATGCCGCCCAGTCCAGATGTGTTACTCTGTCGAAAAAACGGTTTTTAAAGATTAAGCTCATGCACGGATTTTGCCTTATGATTTGTCACGAGCAATGATATACAGTTCATGGCTGGATGAACAAAGGCATTGCCTTTTCGAAATTGGACAGCCTACGCGAGCCACCAAGTTTTGCCCAGTGTACGAGGCGGCATTCACACCAGCACCGTTTGCTTCCTCTCACCTTTTGGCCGGAAAATTCGCGGGATAGGCAACTGGCAGCGGCAAATGGCATGGGCTCCTCGAGCGGGTTCTCTTTCCAGCATAATAGTCCCTAATTACGTGGTTTTAAAAACGCGCCCTACTGGCTTAACGTTGTGCCTAAGATCTTATCCGACAGCGTGCACCTTCATCTTTCAGACCTTGGTCTTTCCCCAGAAATAAGTCGTCATGCCTCAGGTCTGGGTCCGGATTCATTTATCCCCGACAACGTGAGATCACAGCCGCAACGCCTCAACTTGAACTCCTCCTCGGACAGTTTCCGTACGCGGCCCACCTCGCCCACTGTGTGCTCAGGTGACCAGGCTAGTTCGTTTTTCCGTCCACAGATGGAACTACTACACGGAGAAGGAGCTCGGCTCCCAGTCGGTGTGGGGAGTCATCAGCACGTACTCGGGGGCCGGCGCCTACGTGGTAAGCCGACAACCGCGGTGCAATCCTCCAGACGGTCGTATAAAGGGCAGGCGACCTCCCTTGGAAGCAGTTTAGCACGGTCCGCTGCGTGAGGTGCATTTCGATGCCAATCCGCAGAGTGAGGAACGTACCATTCCATGCAATTCACACTGAGTGACGATCCACTCGGTGCTGCTCGCGCTGCGTGACGAACTACTCGGTGCTGCTCGCACTGCGTGACGATCCACTCGGTGCTGCTCGCGCTGCGTGACGAACTACTCGGCGCTGTTTTGCCGCACGATTCAATATGCGATGCCTTCCATTCCCCCTCCATGAGGAAACACTCGACACAATCGTCTCGTGTGATAAGCCATTTGACCCCAGGCTTCGTGCCACCAGCCTCGAATGGGGCCTCATGGTGCGACACGCCTTCAGGCCAACCCCGACGTGATGATCAAATAATCCCTGCACGACAAGGCACGGCAATGATCCTTTCGCGGTACGACACGGCAATAGTCCCTTCTCGTTACCACAGACCAATGGTACCTCCTCACTGCGACACGCCAGTAGTCCCTCTGTGGCACGACACGGCGATAGTCCCTCCGTGGTACGACACTTCAGTAGTCCCTCCGCGGTACGACACGGCAATGGTCCCTTCGGGGTACGACACAGCAACAGTCTCTCCGCGGTACCACACGTCACCCTTCGTTGTCGCTCGGCAGGACCTATCCACCAGCCGCGCCAAGACGGTGGAAATTATCGCGAGCCTGCGGCGCAATCTCTGGATCGGCCGCGGCACGCGCGCCATCTTCATCGACTTCACCGTCTACAACGCCAACATCAACCTCTTCTGCGTCGTCAGGTCAGCCGGGTCGAGCTGCACCGCCTTCGGCTTTTATCCACGCTTAGGGAAGAGATGGCAGTGGAGAGTCAGAAGTGTGCTGGATGCTGCTGATGTGGAGCAGTCGTGCCGTGTTTTAAGCGATGTACTTAACAGGTATAGCACAGTGCCTATAAACAAGCATCGCCTTTTCCTGCGAGGCGCCCACTAGTACAATAATGCACATCACTGATCACGCAAAGGTTATCTGGAATCTGAGCGGAATGTTCTTCTGCTGTCTTCCACGGGTAGCAGCGCACCGGACCTCCCGCACGTCCAGCAGCACCGTCCGGGCGCCAGGGGCGCCTGACCTGACCTGACCTGACCCACCGCGCGGTCTCCAGGCTGGTGTTCGAGTTTCCGGCTACAGGCGGCATGATCCCGTCCTACTCCTTCCGCACGGTCAAGCTGCTGCGCTACGTGACGCCATTCGACTACTTCGTCATGGCCTGCGAGTGGATCTTCGCCATTTTCGTCATCTACTACATCGTGGAGGAGGTCAGCGACCGGTGCTGCAGCCGGGGGTAGTGGGGTGTCGTCACTGCGTCAGCGTTCGTCCCAGGGGGCAGCGAAGCGATTGCGCAGTCTCCACGCCCACGTGCCAGGGCGCCGGTATTGTTTGCTGTCGTCTCCTTCCGAAACACGGCAGGGGGAGACGAGGGATACTTTCCTTGGTGGTGCTTGCTGCTCATTGTAGGCACTCAAGTGTCAAAAGCAGGTTGGTATTGATGGACGCGCTTTTCGTTACGTTGTGTTACGGGTGAGTTTCTCCCATGATCGTCGACCTTTGATGTTGCTAGTGCACGGTATGTAAGTTTCATGACCCTGAGTAAATCCGAGCACATTTTCGCTGCCGTGTTCTCCTGCTAGCTGAAATCTTAGCTCGCACGGGACACGTCAACGTTACTTTAGCAATGGATGCCTTCGAGAGCAGCATACCTTTCAGAAACGCGTTGCGAGAGGAACATTGCCAGCACGTGGCCCGAACGGCAAAGTCTAAAATTGTAGGTGTTTGGTGTGTTCAACCACCTGAAGTGCTTTGACCGCCGCGACAGGTGCTGGAGGTGCGGAAAATGAAGTGCTCCTACTTCAAGTCCGTCTGGAACATCCTCGACATCCTGGTGATAGGGATAGCGACGCTCTGCATCGCGTTCTCCGTCTACCGCACCAACTCTGTCGACGACAAGATCGAGTCGCTGCTCAAAGGTGAGCAGAGATATGACCTCCGACTCGAGTGGTGCTGACCTGACCTCCGACCCGGCACCGATGGGTGCAATGCTGGTTGTCCGTCAGACGTCAAAGTCAAGCATGCGCCGACGATCGCATCATCCCGGTGCCTCCGTCTTGGTGACACTTTGACCTCTCGGTAATTCCGTGACCTCCGTTTGATCTCGTGACCTTTGGCTGACCCGATGACCCCCGCACCGCCGCAGACGATATCCAGTACGCCAATTTCGAGCTGCTCGGCTTCTACCAGACCCAGTTCAACGCGGCAGTAGCCATGTGTGTGTTTTTCGCCTGGATCAAGCTCTTCAAGTACATCAGCTTCAACAAGACCATGACACAGCTCAGCAGCACCCTCTCCCGCGTGAGTGTTGGTGGGATGCGGGGAGGGGTGCCAACGCGGTACAATAGGCGCACAGGTGATGGTGCTGGCTTACAGGTGCTTCAGCTTTAGAAGTCATGTCGTGGGTACAGCTGCGGAGTTTCGCTAGGATGAAGTGCGCTAAAGGAAACGGACACTGGCTCAGTGCAGCAGTGAGGAATCAGGAAGGGGTGCTGGATGCTGGATCCACGCGGTGGCCACAGGGGCTTGGGTCTGGGGAAGTAGGTGAAGCCAGAGCCCGGATGGCAGCTGGACGGAGGATGGGTAGCGGTGCTTCGAGAGAACCGGTGCAAAGTCAAACTTAAAGCACGGGAAACCGAGAGCTGCGGCGAATGCGGCGCGGTGGGATGCTCAGGGTGATCGGTCCAGCTCCCACAGACCGTGGGATGGTCAGGGCGATCGGTCCAGCTCCCACAGACCCTGGGATGGTCAGGGTGATCGGTCCAGCTCCCACAGACCGTGGGATGGTCAGGGCGATCGGTCCAGCTCCCACAGACCGTGGGGTGGTCAGGGTGATCGGTCCAGCTCCCACAGACCGTGGGATGGTCAGGGCGATCGGTCCAGCTCCCACAGACCGTGGGATGGTCAGGGTGATCGGTCCAGCTCCCACAGACCGTGGGATGGTCAGGGCGATCGGTCCAGCTCCCACAGACCGTGGGATGGTCAGGGCGATCGGTCCAGCTCCCACAGACCGTGGGGTGGTCAGGGTGATCGGTCCACCTCCCACAGACCGTGGGATGGTCAGGGTGATCGGTCCAGCTCCCACAGACCGTGGGGTGGTCAGGGTGATCGGTCCAGCTCCCACAGACCGTGGGGAGGTCAGGGTGATCGGTTCGGCTACCGCAGGCGGGAGACGTCGGCTGTTATCGACTGCGCGGCGTGCGGTGTTCGTGTCCAGTTAAGCTTTTGCGTGTGCAGGGTAACGATATTTCAGTGCAGTGCAGATTGTGTTTAAATGCGCGTAGTACGCTGGCGTGTGCGCTACATGGCGACAATGGTAATCTGATAATGTCTTCCGTCGCCAAACCTGGATTGGCAGAAAATACAGTGATCATCACACGCACCTCTCCGTTCTGTTTTCAGTGTGCAAAGGACGTCATGGGCTTCGCCATCATGTTCTTCATCGTCTTCTTCGCCTTTGCTCAGCTCGGCTACCTCCTCTTCGGCACCCAGGTCAGCAAGATCACTCGGGATCATCTGGAAGTTTACTGATGCTTTCGTTGTTAAGTACTGGTATCTAATCATTGTAAGCACAAGTTGATATATCCCTGTGTACATGCACTGCATGCTTTCCTCCCCCCTCCACCAGTTTTCTTCGCCCTATCATCTTTCAAGGTTTTTCATATTTCTTCGACCGGCTGATATTTTTACTGTTCACAAAAAACAGTTATAGCTCTTGTCCACTACGCTATCTTCGAGCAGCTCTAGAGCCGCGGTAATGCCCGGTCGTCGCTCGCGTCCAGGCCCGCCCCGCCAGTGCCTCTCGACTGCTCGAGCCGCCACCTGCGCCTCTGTCCGGCAGGTTCGCGACTTCAGCAGCTTCGGCAACGCCACCTTCACCCTGCTGCGGACCATCCTCGGCGACTTCAACTTCCACGAGATCGAGGCCGCCAACCGAGTGCTCGGGCCCATCTTCTTCCTCGCCTACGTGTTCTTCGTCTTCTTCGTGCTGATGGTGCGTGCGTCAGCCCGTCCCGCGGTGGCGGGTCTGATGGTCTGATGACGGGCCTGACGTATCTGGTGGTCTGATAACGAGTCTGATAGGTCTGATAATCTTATGACGGATCTGACGGGGTCTGGTGGTCCGACGACGGGTCTGATAGATCTGATGGTCTCATGAGTCTGGTGGTCTGATGACGGGTCTGACAAGTCTGATGGTCTCATGGGTCTGGTGGTCTGATAACGGGTCTGATAGGTCTGATAATCTTATGACGGATCTGACGTGGTCTGGTGGTCTGGCGACGGGTCTGACAAGTCTGATGGTCTCATGGGTCTGGTGGTCTGATGACGGGTCTTATAGGTCTGATAATCTTATGACGGATCTGACGGGGTCTGGTGGTCTGACAACGGGTCTGACATGTTTGATAGTCTCATGGGTCTGGTAGTCTGATGACGGGTCTGACAGAACTGATGGTCTCATGGGTCTGGTGGTCTGATGACGGGTCTGACGGGTCTGATGGCGACAAGTGTTGGGGTGGCGGAGACGGGAGAGACGGGAGACCGACAGCTGGAACTGTTGGCCGAGCTGGTAAAGACGGGAGAACGACAACATGCGCACAGAGCCGGCGGCTGCCCGCCGACGGGAAGATGGAGATCACTGGACCCATTGGCGAGGGGGGCCCACTCGACAGAGAGGGCTGGTCAAACCAGGCCCATATGTTTGAAGACCGTCTGACTGATAGCTGTGCGATCTCGCTTCGGACCGATGCTGAAGATGTTTCTCACCCCCCCCCCCCCTAGTGAACTGAACGCGGCACGCTTCCTCACCTTTACTGTTGTGATCACAGAATCACCACACACAGCTCAGATACGGACACAGTTGAGGCATATTACAGACGGACAGGGCGCCAGTGCGGAAGTGGCCACCAGTGTTGACTTGCGCTCCCCCAATGTTGATTTGAGCCCAAAATTATTGCTGATAGGTGGCAAAAATCGGAGAAGCAGTTAATTATTACACCAAGATTATGTTATCATTCGAAGGCCATCACCACTTTGCTGCTAAAGAAATCACAACTCGAAAAATAACACTAAAGTTTGAAAAAGAAAACTAATACTTAACAACACAAAGTGGGCGCAAAGTCCGTTGGAAAACTGTCCCCCTCCCCCTAATAGTTTACTGAACGTGATGTCCCTCTGGCCCACAGAACATGTTCCTGGCCATCATCAACGACACGTACAGCGAGGTCAAGAACGAGATTTCGGCCCAGAAGAACGAGTTTGAGATCGCTGACTACTTCAAGCGCGGCTACAACAACATGATGGGTGAGGCGGGACGGACTGAAATAGTCCCTATAGTAGTCCCTATAAATAGTCCCTAAATAGTCCCTATAGTCCCTACATAGTCCCACCACTACCGTGGTGGTAGTGGCCACGGCCACGGCCACGGCCACGGACTGGCCTCGGTGGTAGTTATCTGAGAACGGCCGAGAACGCGCTGTGGCGCTGCAGAGGCGCGATGCTCACTGTTCACAGCTGCGCGAAACTGTCTGAGCTATGGCTGTCGGCTGCGCGAGGGTGTCCGAGCTATGGCTGTCGGCTGCGCGAGGGTGTCCGAGCTATGGCCGTCGGCTACGCGAGGTTGTCAGAACTATGGCTGTTGGCTACGCGGGGGTGTCCGAGCTATGGCTGTCGGCTGCGCGAGTGTGTCCGAGGTATGTATGTCGGCTGCGCGAGGGTGTCCGAGCTATGGCCGTCCGCTGCGCGAGGGTGTCCGAGCTGTGGCTGTTGGCTGGGTTTCTGGGTGTAAAAAGTGACGCCTGCTTCATGCCAAAGCATCCATTCAGCGGGCAGGTGTGCGTATGTCGAGAGCTGAAGTGCGTCCCACTTCTTTTAGGGAGGCTTAGATGACAAATAGAGTCGAAGTTTTGCCAGCAGCGCATTTGATTGCGTATTTTTGGTATGATTATGCGCATCCCTGTTGTCGCTCTAGGTTGTTGTCGTAGAGGCTGTCGATTATGTGCATTATTGCAGTGGTGTGTGTCTACCTGTTGGGTTCCAGCTTTATGGTAAGCAAACATTAAAACGACGCCAATTTTCTGCCTAACGTGCGAATAGTGAGTGATAACGGCATGGAGATAACAGCAATTAACCAAACCTCTACCGGGCATTTGACAATCCACCGTGGGTGCGCCCTATGGTGGCGTCTGACCTCCGGTGGCGCCTGATTTCTCACTTCCTCTGACTTTTCCTTACCTCCGATGGCCCCTGACGACGTTTCCAGGCAAGCTGGGCAAGCGTGACAAGCTGATTGACATCCAGAACGCGCTGAAACTGGCTGACACGAACAGCGACGGCATCTACTCCTTCGACGAGATCCGCAAGAACCTCAAGAAGTGAGTGGGGACCTGTCAAGGCCTCCCTGGCGCGCGCGCACATGGTCTCGTTCATTTCGCGATCGTCGCACCCGCGAAACCGCTGCGACATGACTGTCAAGTCATGACGCACTGTCTGACATGCGTCCGCCACACACCTACTCCGCGTCCGCAGTGTGCTGTGTGTCTGACCCGCACCTGTCACATCTGCCACGTGCCTGTCAAACACTAACACACACGCACACACACACACACACACACACACACACGCATACACACACACACACACACACATGCACACACACGCACACACACGCACACACGCACTCACACACACACACACACACACACACACACACACACACACACACACGCACACACGCACTCACACTCACACACACACACACACACCACACACACACACACACACACACACACACACACACACACACACACACACACACACACACACACACACACACACACACACACACACACACACCCATGCACATACACGCACACACACGCACACACGCACTCACACTCACACACACACACACACACACACACACACACACACACACACACACACACACACACACACACACACACACACACACACACCACACACACACCACACACACACACACACACACACACACACACACACACACACGCGCGCGCGCGCGCCTACACGCATGCCTGTCACGTGTCTGTTACACGCCGGCCTCTTATCTGTCACGCACTTTCGACCGCAGGTGCAACTTCTCTGACCTGGAGATCGAGATGTTCTTCGCGCGATACGACCTGAACGGCGACCGGACCCTGGGGGATGACGAGGCGCGTCTCATGATGGCTGACCTGGAGGACCAGAAGCTCGAGCTCGACCGTGAGTAACCGCTGCGAGGCTCCGACGCTGACTGACGACCTGACCCTCGCCCGACTCGCAGCCTGACTCTGACTCTGACCCATGCGTGACTCTGACTCGGAGCCACTATCTGATTACATCTCTGACGGTATGATTCTACCGCCTTACGTCCTAGCGTGGTGTGTTGTTTCCTTCTCTTCAATGGGCGCCGTGGCGCCCCCAAAGCTGGAGCGGACGCTGACAGTGGACTCTTGATCACCCACGATCTATGATGCGCCCAGACATGTTAGTTTTCACTTGAATATTACGTTTCGTGTTGTACGATATACTTTGTGCACGATTGGTGCCCACCATGCAACAAGGTTATTCACCGTGCACAAAAAAGTTGAAAATGGAAATTTTCACATTTTTATGTATATCAGTAAAATAATTCTCCCGCACAGTCGTTTAAGCAAAACACTCCGCAAGTTAAAATCCGTTTGGGCCAAACACTGCCTGATAAGACTTGCGTCTTGCACGCTTGCGTCGTCTTACGGAGTTGATTTCAATGCCACGATAACACAGAACTTTTCATAGATTGCTCATCGCTTCAACTGGATAGCAGCGTGATGACCACGATGACCTTGACCTTAACGGGCGAGACGAAAACCTGCACCCTTCATCGGCCTTCCGGGCCAAACGTGATGTTCAATGTGTATTGCGGGCTGATCCGAAACGGCGCGCCGGGCTCGACGACAGACCTCGCTCGTCATGGTGGCCTTGACCTCGAAGGCGGGATCTTGACCTTGACCTTGACCGGCAGGTGAGATCGGGAGGCCGACGTCCGGCCGTCGCTCCCGGCCCGGCTCCGCGTACGGAGGGGGAGGCGGCGTCAACCCCGAGGAGTTCAACTCGTGAGTCGCGTGCACCCCCGCCGCTGATGCCGCGTTCGGTCACGGGCCTCGCGCCGGCGGCGAGCGTCGCTGCCAGGAACGGGGGTCAGCCGGAGAGACCGCGGTCCGGGCGGGCGGTCTCGCAAACGAATCTGTCACAAACGTGTGGTTCTGAGTGGCACGGCGAGGCCGCACTGCCGGGCCGTGGCAGCTGGAAGAACTTGGCCTCCGGGCAAGTCCATCGTTCAACACTGGGGTTAGTTAAATGCTGTGTACATTTCAGCCCTTTCAATGGCTATCTATTACTTAGCCGTAACCACAAATGCAGATACTGGATCGTGCTTCACCATGGGCACACCTCCATACGATGCGACCCTGACTTGGACATGACCTCGGCCGTAGGCTGACCCGCCGCGTGGACCGCATGGAGCACAGCATCGGCTCCATCGTCTCCAAAATCGACGCCGTGCTCATCAAGCTGGAGGGCATGGAGAAGTCGAAGCAGAAGAAGAAGGAGACGATGGGCAAGATGCTGGACCAGATCTCGGACGACCCAAGCGGTATGTTGGTCAGAACTGTCGAGAACGGGCACGGCTGTGAGGCTTTCGATGGTTTTCCTCATCCTGGCGCAACGCACCGAGATTCCAAAATCGTCGGCGGGAACGCTTTCGAAGAGGAAGCGCCTCTCACTCCAGTTAGAGGCTCTGGAGCGTGCAGAGAGATTTATTTTGGAACTGAAAGTGCCAAGTTGTAGGTAGTTATAGGTTTCGACAGACATGAATGACCAATTGACGACCAATGGCTCGTGTTTCACGTCTCATCGCTGAAAAGACTGTGATAATCGCTCTGTACACCTTATTTGGCGCTGCTATATCGCTGCGAATAAGCTACCGTTTGCGGGCAGTAAATCCTATGCAAGGCTTGATTTGCATACGGCTCGAAGTCGATGGCTTCACGCATTGCCACCAGCGACTACTGCAGGAACCGAGTCGCCAGCACGCGCCTTGACTTCCGGGCCGCATGTTTAACATGATTCACAATCCATCCTCGCCCTTGGTTCATCAGAAGGCTAGAGTAATAGTTTACGCTTAGAGATACCTCGCTCGATCTACCCCGACAGCTTGCCAGCCTGCTGCATACCAAGATGAATGGCGTTGCTGAGGTCATGTCCGTTGCCATCGCTTTGGATATTGCTGAGGCGGCAAACAACACTACGGAGGCGCTTAGATAGTTCAAGTCTTCATCATTTAATTTGTGACTGCTGACCGGGCCTTCCCAATCTCATGACAATAGCACGGCTTCACCCGCTGTCACGCGGCCCGCACCGCCCATCCGACCGCCCGCCGCACCACTGCCAGCATGTGCAGAAGCATCACCAACCACCACTTCTGAACGTCCCCCAGGCACTTCAGCACATTCGTCAGTCACCTCAGCGCGGCCACTCACATCTTCAGCATGAAAACCCACCCACAGCATGTCCACCGACTGCTTCAGCATGGCCACTAGCATCTTCCGCACGGCTACGGGCTTGTTCGGCGTCCTGCCGTCGCTCGTGCACCCCCGGCGGCCGCCTCACCGCCGCTTCTTCCCCGCAGCGGACGACAAGTCCAAGCGGCACCAGATGGAAAAGCTGGTGCGGGAGGAACTGGATCGCTGGGACTCTGATCCCAACATGAAGGTCAGCTGATCGGCAGCGGGTGGTCAGGGTGGCTTCAGCAGGGGAGCGCGCGCCTGCTGAGGTCGTGGCGGGCCATACACTCGCTACATAAAGTTTGTCCACTGGGTCAGCAGATTGTTTAGATTTTTGGGTCAGCTACGTCGACCAGATGAACTTTTCACTTAGGTCGATTAGATCAGCTATCTGTGCTATTTCAAGTGCGTCTGCTGCCAGTCAGTACCGCTAGGGTCAACTGGCGCCAATATACCAATGCAATTTCTGGGTAAACCAGATCGTCGATCAGGCCGGATCGCACGGCTGATCGGTCCGTCGGGTCCACAGTCCTCCAGGGTCACCTGCTTTGTGGACGCCAAGACCAATAGGTTTGGCGGTGATAGGTCATCTGGTGGCACTCTCGGCACAGGGCTCCTGCACCCAAGCTTTGGGGTCCGGGCAAGTGTAAACCCGACACTAAATCTGTTCCTGGTGTGCATCCTGGTGCTGCCCCTGGTGCGCGTCCTAATTTAGACGTAGCCCCCCCCCCCCCCAGGACTATCCCCTGACTTGTCCTGAAATTGACGCTGACTGTCCAGCACTGGCTCTTCCAACACTTTTTCTCATTCCGGCCAGACTTAACACGCGCCTCCCTCAGACAACTGTCCGTTTTGCGGAGAATAAAACTGCTGCACGAAAGTAGTATGATCCTGCGCCTAGCTGTATCTAACGGCATATATCATCACATCGCTCGAAGGACCCGTGAACATCTAGCCTCGCTGTTGTCAAAACCTACTTGATTCGTCTCATGTCGCGCGCTGATGCCCGTTGCCGCGCCACTTACGATTGCGCCGCGTCAGTGACGTCATTCCGTCTGTCAGTTGACCGTGTCACTTGAGACAGGGGTGGTGGTGCTGTGTACTCAGATCCACCCAACTGAACTTGACGCCACCAGCTAGGAAATCGAGCGTCGTTTTCCGTCTCAAGCCTCACGCCACCGACCACTTGGTTCCTGTGACACCCCGACACGTGCCGATTTCTCCACAGGGCAGTAAGTAGAGAGGCCGGGTGGTGAGCTCGCTCGCCGGGTCGCGCTAGAGGGAGAGAGGACGTCCCCGCAGGCGCCGACCGGCGCAGCGTCCCGCCGCGAGGCGGCGCCAGCATCGCCCGACCCCGCCGCCGGTCCGACCGGCCCCGGCAGACGCGACCCACGCCCTCCACAGCAACCCAGTCAAGTGCAGCGTGTCTGTCGGGCCGGCGCCGTCCGCCTCGGCGGCTCAGAGATCAGCAGATGGCTGTTGCTCGCCGCCGAGCCGGCCGCACCGCGGCGGCGGCGGCCACGCGCATGCGCGCCGCCTCCCGGCAAGATATGACGACCCGCGCGTGACCCGCGGCAACCCCGCGGCGGCCGCGGCGACCTGGCGCTGCGCCAGCCGCGCCCTCGGGGCAGGCGTTGTGACCTCGCCGCGCGGGACAGTGCCTGAGGCGGCGGACGCGCCAGATTTGCTCACCGGCGCATCTAAGGGAGAGGTGCTACCAGAAGAGTGGCACGCGCCGGACTTTTGTGGTTTTGTTCTGCGCACTGTCTGTTGAGGCCAACGCAGGCGTCGGCCACACTGTCGTGTTTGGTACGATATGTGTACGGTTGACCTAAGTTCATTTCGGTCTCGCCGCCGGTGGTCGGTTTCGGCTGGCGGCGTCCCGGCCTTTGCCGACCCCGCCTGACCTTTGGCATACTTCTGGCGTACCGCCCGAACGCTTTGTGTTTCCGCTCTTCTGTTGTCTTGGGGGCTCAATTATGTCTACGGTGTGTGTCGAAAATGGTAACCCGGTGCCGTGGACGTAGTTGCAATCCCCAGGCTCCTTGCCCATCATGTTGCAATACAGTCTGCACTCTACCACCGGGTTTTTTACATGTGCGTTATTCATGCCAGACCGGTGCTTCACGCTTGGCGGAACCGTCATCCATCGCGAGTCCAACCGAAAGATAAGCCGTGAATGAAGGCGAAGTAGGTAACGACTTAACAGTACTAAATCCTGAGACAGAATCAACGCAAGTACTTTGGACGTAAAGGAGTGGATTCTGAGAGGTCATGAGACTTCGGTATTAGGACTTACGTAGCAAAGCTGTCTGTTCAACAGCTTGCAAATGTTTGGCGAAACGTGACAACCAGACTTGTGCCTGGTTGCCAAGATTTCTTCCCGGGAACCGGTTCCTGGTTCCTGGTTCCGGAACCAGGAAGAAGACAAGAACCAGTCTGGCAATAAGTCGAAAGATCCAGCAAGAACCAGGATCCAGCTTGACAATATGTCGAAAGATCCAGCTTGACGATAAGCCAAAAAAATCCAACAAGAACCAAGATCCGGCTTGACGTGAAGACGAAAGATCCAGCAAGAACCAAGATCCAGCTTGGATTGGACATAGGGACCCAACGAGAACCAAGGTCCAGCCTGGAATTATGTTGATGGATCCAGCAAGAACCAAGACCCAGCCTGGAACATGCGAAGTGATCCAGCAAGAACCAAGATCCAGCTCAGGCTTAAGATGGAGATTCAATTTCAGCAAGAACCAAGATCCATTCTAAAATTATGCTCAGGAGCCAGCAAGAAACAAAATCTTACCAGGATTTCTTCAGAGCAGTTGCTGCTAACACTCCCCACTTTTCAGGTCCAGCAATTAATACTGTTCTTAATGTAAATTAATAAAATTGGGTCTAGGAACATAGCTGGTTATCTGCTCAGGCTGTTCCTCATACCCATAAAAGAAATTTGCTGTTCTTCAATGTTAATAACACTACAAATTCAGAAGAACAACATCAATAACTTGTCAAGACACAGGGATGATGCAGACCTGCTAAGTCTGCAACTGGACTGTTAGCTGCCTAATGTTATCCCGAAAGGAAAGGTCCGCTATTCCGTGCGGATCTCTCGGAAATAATGAATTTTATATATATATATATATATATATATATATATATATATATATATATAGTATAAGTTTACATCAGAATAGCACAAAATGATTTCCAATGAAATCACGCAGCAACCATAAATAACACCTCTTACTCTGCATCTCGCACACTAATGTGGCGTCCCCGCGCGTCGCTCATCAAGGCCGCAGATAGGGAAGCTAGTTGGTATGTTTAGTTAATCTAAAACCCAAAGGGAATATGACGTCAAGGAACTAAGGCTGCTGGTGGTAAGGTTACTCCGTGTGGGAATGCGGAACAACGGTGCTACCTTACTGACTCCTTATTACTCACACCAAAAAACACACCATCTAACGTGTCATAATCAATTTAAATCATCCACAACAATGTCAGACACAAGCAGGGTGTGTATGTGTTGAAATGCAGCTTCTGATGATAAAAATGTGAAAAAATCAGTGAGAACCAGGATCCAGCACCTTGTATTGTCGAAAGAGCCAGTGGGAACCAGGAACCAATATTAGGAACCAGGCACATGTCTGGTGACAAAAACGTGCACGCGATAGAAAGGGAGGACAAGTCCCGCAGTCATATGGCGCAGTTGAGTTGTGATTAAAGCCGTCGCTACAGGATTAGGTTGTACTGGACTCCACGCCCAGGATCGGGTAATATCTTGCTCGGAGTCAGTCAGACTCGACTCCAAGCTGCCCGCCGCTGATCGGAGGAACGACCGCGTCGAGGCAGAGTCTAGCACACAGCACAGGCCAGCACGAGGCGGCCCAGTCGTTCTGCCACCAGGCACACAAAACGTACCCGTCTTGGCCAAGATGGCGTTCATGGCAAGCTTATGCATGGTTTGGAATGTCGCGTGCTGGAGAGACGACGAGGAAGGAGAAACTTCAAACTGCTGGCTGTTTGTTAGTACGGTTTCCAGCAACAGACAAACGTTGGCAAGCAGCCACTGCCTGTGGATGTCACGCGTCTGGCAGAATGATTTGCGGACTGGAGCTCTGCTGATCCTAACATCACGCTTTTGGCTTGGTCTGGGTTGGTTCGGATTTGACTGGACCCTTCGGTCAGCAATAACCGCTTCAGGGCTTTGGGAATTCGGAGAGAGATGAGTAAAGGGGCAAGACTACGGTCACCGTGGAAGGCCCGTCAACAAGCCTTACGCAGCAAATGTCCAGTCGCATAAACCACACAAATGTTGGCGGCAATAACGGCACATAGCTGGTGACCGCGGCGTCCTCCGTTACGCCGGACATTGCATACAATAGCCCGATTGACAATGGACATTGCGAGGATTGAGGACAGGCGAGGAATGAGAAAAGGCAGGGAATAAGACAAACCGGGGGAGCGTCACTGAACTTTTGCAAACACGATCACATTTCGCAAATGTATTGTTTCAATGTTGCATCTTAGTCCAAGAAGCAGAATGGTGCGAGTTCCATGTGGATCAATGGAGGTCTTTAAGACTAAACTAATCCAACACACTTGTTTTTGTGCTTCGTTTTCTTACTGTTGCCACCTGTCGGTGGAGAGGCCAGGCTCTGCTTCGCACGACGACCGCCAGAGTCATCTTCGACTTCAACCATTTCATACCTGCCGAATAGTAAATTCATCACGCGATGTAGAAACGGGACGCCATCAAAACTTGCTGGTGGATCGTGTCGTTTCGAGACGGCACTCATAACGTCCACTGTTATGTCAAGTTCACATGCACAGCACGCAAGGAATAATGGATTCAACAACTATCAAAAATGTTGTCATTGAACTACGACGACCCCCAACGTTGACCCACGACGATCAAATGACTATTTCACATTCGTACGGGGTTTGAACTGCAATTGCAATGTTCATGGCCATTCCCTGCGTGTCACAAACCAACACCGCGCACGTTTTAAGACTTGAAATTATCCCGTTTCTTAGAGCTTGATACACGCGAGTTTGAGCAGCTTGTGACACGCCGCCTATGAGATAACCACCCATACATATACGACGTCCCAAAAACATCATGCGAGCACCATGCCTAATTGGCCGTGCTGTGCTCATGGGTATTTAAAATGTGGCCACATGCATTCGTATTTGAAGTTATCCGGCACGAAGTGCCCCATCGATAGAAGGCAATTCATTGGCCTATAATCGGATTTCGCTATCGATCGCACGTTTCGATCACGTTTCGCGTTTCGCCAGCAATGACACCGACATTTGGGCAACTACTAGATATGACGGACATGGAGCTAATATTTAAACCCCTTTAAGAATAGCACCGCAACCGAAAGTGTAAACCCAAGCAAGGAAGGTGCCGTCACGGAAAATATATAAGAAAACCGTATGGAAGGGCCAAACACCACGCACATAAGCTCATGCGTTGAGTCACTAAATAAATCAACACTGTAACATTGCAGCACCTAGGAATACTGCAAAATCAGTTGAGTTATGCTGCCCGCTATGGCGGCAACTCAATGCTGCAACTCTAGCAGCAGTTCAGATGTCACAAAAACGTGCCATGACGTCCCCAAAGGATTACGTAATGGGGACCACATTCAATGATTCGTGAAGCTTCATTATTTAACGCAGCCTTCGCACTTAAGAGCATACCAAATGTTACTCCGGCTAGTCAGCCGGTTGTCTGGGCGCCTGTGGCGTCCCTGTCATGCTCTTCCGGCCGTCCGGTTTTGAGGGATTCGGCAGCGCCCCGCGAGACTGGAGGTCAAGGTCACGCTACCAAGCCCCCGAGCCAGTACCGCGGGCCGGCTGACCACTTGTCCGACAGAGCGAGAAGCACACGTTAGCTTACTTTCCGTGCTTCGTCTGCAGCCATTTCCACTCCTATTTCTGCTTCACTGTGTGCATATAGACCTTCCTCACACGCTAGCAGTGACATGAATTATCTTGATGTTTAGTTCCGCCGCCCTTTTGCTGGTGGTTTTAAGTTTATTTTCCATTGGCATTTTATTTGGCGTACCTGTGTTGCCGGTTGCATGCATTCATACCTATTGATCAGCAGCCGTGTGGTGGCGATCTTGTCTGCGCTACACTAGGTTTCGCATTTGCGTCGCGTTCTTGTTTCTTATGCATTTTCTGGCTATAGGTATACCATTGTAGTGTCATGGTGCCCCGTTCTGTACGCGTGGGGATGTGCCCTCCCGGACGGTTTCTCCACTCAAGTTGTGTTTCTTCCGAAGTTGTTATGCTCAATCGATTGCTCCTGTATGCACAAACCTTTATAATACACCGAAGCATGTCTGCTGCGTGCCATTCGTGGACGCGTGTCGACATGAAGAAGCCTGAGAAAATACGCCAATAGCTGCAACTGAGCTTCTTACATCATATGTGCTGCCTGCCCGATATCTTCCAATTGGAATAGTCTATTTAAAGAAGCTTAAACATGAAGCTTACTGCCGCCAAGTCACAAGGACAGCAAGGACAATAGCCGCGACAGCAGACGAGGAAACCTGGCCGTGCCCCTGCAACATGGCGGCGGATATAGACGTATGCAGTCGGCCATCTTACCTGGGGTCTGAGGCCAGCGCCAGGTTTCTCTCGACGGCATAAGAGACAGTCAGTTGTTTGTCGTGCAGCGTCAGCTGCTGGGACGCCATTGCAGCAGCTGACTGCCGGTCGGGGAACTGCACGAACGCGTAACTGGCGAAAGGAGCGAATTAGCGGTAGTCTGGGCGCCTTGCGTTCGCTTCCCATCGCTACGCAGTTTATCCGCAGTAATCACGGTTTCAGAATTCGTACGCAATGCAATCTGAGTTGCGGTGCACCGGGCGAAATATACATCGAACCTTCATATGGTGCTGTGATGGCATCTTCACTCTCCAATGCGGTTGCGCACAAGACATCAGAGGTATTCTCCCAAATCTCGCGCGTTCAACTTTCCATTTGATAATTAGCACGCGCGTGCTCCGATCCTGGACATTGTCGAAAAACGTTGGCTAGAAACACATGCACCACGATTAAAGTTCTTCACTACCCATAAAAGTTGGCTAGTGCATCATAGATAAGCTTAATAGGTAAAGGCTACGCATAAAGATATTGTCAAATAGCATGAAACCACGCATAGTCATATTGTCGCTTTTTCTACGGTGCCCTTATTACAACGCGTTGGCAGGCCGTGCTCGCCCAACCCAAAACCAAGATGGCGGTGCCACTGCCTACCCGTTGTTTCCGCGCTGGTTGTTGGCCGGAATGCTGACGTCATCGCAGCCAGTGAACAGCTGTTGCAGCTCCGGCGCGGTGGCCGTCCTCTGTATGCCACGCACGTGCAGCCTAAGGGCACCAGGATACGATGTAGAGACGGTGTAACACAAGTATGATCATGTAATGGCACATTTGGCCTTCAGCACCAGATTTTTCGCTTTGCCGTTTCTTTTATCCATGGCTCCAGTGGCGGACGCGACATGAAAAAAAAAACGAACACGTCGAGCAAAGAACGACGCCCACTCCGCCTGGCTGACCCAGGCAAGCGCCAACAACGGCCGGGCCGAAAACACCGTCACGTGGCCGGGTCTGATCATCGGAGCGGTTGGGACGGCGCGGCAGCGCCCGCTACGGCTTCAACAACGGGGGACTGAGGCCAGGCACAGGCTAGTGGTCGGTGTGACGAAACATCATCGGCTGATCAGGTCGCCGCAATGGTCCAAACGCGCACCGAATCGTTGTCGTTTCCGTTGCCGTTTTCGGATCAGCGGCGGCAAACGCCTTCAAAAACCAAAGCAACAAGGCCATCTGGCAGCGTGACGGTCCCGAATGATGACCTTATATGACCGCATGGGACGGCGGGAGTCTTCGAAAGGAAACCACAATGAAAACAGAGCCGTCTACCAGATCACATTTCTAGATGAAGCCCCTAGATACAGGGACTTCCCCGATGAGGCCCCCCTGTTTTGCCCACGAAAGATGGCGGGTACCCTTAAGTCCACGAAGTGTATGTTGGGCGCTGGCGGATTGGTCGCATGGCAGGTCCAGGCTCGGGCGCCCAGAGGCTTACTGACAAATGGGTCGGCCTATACGCCTGCCGAAGCGCACCGCAGCGCGTGTGGAGGACGGGAGACGTCCTCAGGCGGGGTCACATGTTTGCGCGTGCGTCAGTCACAACACCACGCGGCTTCACAATGACGCGTCGCTGGTCGGGATGGCAGCGGCCGCCGCGGGCGTCCACAGACAAACCGTGTCATGTTCTTGAGGAGAGCACGGCGGTCGAGCGCGCCCGCCGGCCGCTGCGCGAGGAGCGTCTCCGCCGAGACGAGCCGGCCGTCGGCGACCTCCGTCTGTCGCAGGCGCGCCACCACCGCCGCCGCCTCGGCCGCCGACTCGAACTGGCACTCCACCGCCCTGCGGAGGGACGGACGTCAGCCGGTGGCCGCCGCTCTGGACTGGACAGCACCGCTGTCGGAGCGGCCGCTCTGCGCGCCACCAGCCCCCTCAAGACCTTCTCCTCGCCGACCTCGACCACTGGCTCAGCGGATCACTGCACCGACTTGAGGCACGACGAGGATGAGGCGCGAGGGAGGCACTGCACCAGCGCAACACCCATCCGCAAGAGAACAAGCACCGACAACGCTCCTGGCGGTGTTGTCAGTAGACTGAAACGCTGAATTGTATGTTGATGTTAGTAGATGTGGCTCAAGATGTAGGATTATCACACAGCAAAGGTGCTGATAGCGGAGGCGCATAGTCGGATATGATATGGGTTGGAGTTGGATCCATAGAGACGCAGAGTTGGATACATGATATGGGTTGGAGTTGGATCCATGGAGAAGCAAAGTTGGATACGATATGCGTCGGATCTATGGAGACGCAGGGTTGGATATGATATGAGTCGGAATAGGATCTATGGAGGCGCAAAGCTGGATACATGATATGAGTTGGCGTTGGGTGGTAAGTGACGGGGATCTTGGGCTGGTGTTGCCACTGTGTCTGCAGCGCTGCCCTCCCACCTGGTAGTGGAGGAATGTATGTGTTTCGTATTATGTTCTCAGCACGCAGGGAGCATCTATTGGCAGAACGTGGGGTTTAAGGGGCGCGTCAATTGCATCACTTATTTTGTTTCAACAGTCTTTGCTTATTCGACGCATGCACGGACAACGCGCCACGGGCTCGAGTCATCAGACCTGAATAAGGCATACCAAAGCTTGAGTCGCATACAGTCACGGAACGCATACAGGCGAATAGATTATTCTGAAATTAACATGCTTCATCAAAACTAAAACCATTCTCGCATCATAAATCGGTTCCGCTCTGATGAGAGGGCGCAGAAAACAGCCTTCGGCGCGCGTTGGAGCCAAAGTAACTATAACGCTCAGCTTCGAGGAGGCGGCACCGCACGAGGACATGGGCGACTGACGGAGGGTGGTCACACCGAGGCTAAGGTGGCGCTTGGCCTTCTGTGGCGAGCACCCGAAGAATGCGCTGATGCGATAACCCTCCGCCGCCGGCGCCGCCGCGTCGCGGCGTCAGCGACGGCTATCGGCGGCAAAATCTGGGGTTGACAAGTCCTTTAGCAGTTGAAGGAGCTTGGATAAGGGTCGGCGCAGCATGGGGCAGAGGGGACAGTTCCCCTCCCCTGCCTTCCGACAAGGGTGGAGAAAGAGAATGTTTTTGTCCCCTAACATTTTTGGGGCCCCTTTTCCGAAACCAGACATTGCAGGTAACCGTAGAATACCAAAACTCAGTACGAGTCCCAAATAACTGAGCTAAAAGTAATATGTCTGACTCAGAGGAGCCATTTATACATCCGGACGTCCGTTTTCTGGACCATAATGCCACCTTTTTAATAAGGTAGCCCGTACTCTAGAACAGCAGGCGCAAAGATGTCTTAGGAAGACTCTTTCGCTGGCTTGGGAGGCTCCCGTTGCGAACTAGGAGCCTCCTATTGTTTTTGGATATCGGAGCCCCGTAGGTGGCTTTGGTCGTCTTCTTCGCAGTGCCCTAGAACTGCCGACTTTGCGTGTAAAGCAACACCCTATGAGGATGAATTTTTCACTCCTTTTCCCCATATTTTATGTGATTTTTCCACTCCTGCCTGACATTGTCTAATCGCACATGCCAAACCCCTATTTCCCTTTGAGGTTTTCAGATGCCATTTAAAACCGAGCTCACTTGAAACCATCAAGCATAAACGAGGCTCCACAGAACCCCGACACCTGGCTATGGCTATGGCCTCGACATGGCTATGTCCTGTCTCACCTACACCTGAATCATGTTTATGTATGCGCAGAGCAAGGGCGCCAGGTACCCCCAAGCCCAAGACCACAGCGACTTCAGCCGTTTGCACGCATCAAGTTTGGTTTGTTTACAAAATGCATCACAATCGGCAGCTGTGTGCCAAATGTAAGGTTTTCACGCAACCCCAGGGGGTCATCATCGCAGCCTGAGAAATTGGTCGGGCTGGCGCCTGTTCAACGTTAAGAGGTGACGTCACAAAGTCGCAATGGCTAGCGCTGAGGCGTTGCATGGCAACGTCGACTGCGTCGCGTGGAAAGCAGTAGTCACGCAGAAATGCTGTGGTTGGTCTTGTCTATTATCGTCAAGGTCGTACAATACCGATGTAACGTATCAAATGTAACATCGCGATTATCGTGCAGTGTGGCATCGAGTTTGTACTGTTGTGTTGCCTTAGTGCGTGCTATTGTGTTGTGGATGGGAGAATTTTGAAGCGATGTGTGAGCGTGGGGCAAAAGTGGGCATCAAAGGCAATTTTTTTGGCAGCAAGATGCCTTCCTGTGAAGTGGCCTCTTGCAAGAATGTGAAACGGCACAGTAAAGACATTTTTCTTTTGCAAAAAAAAAAACGATCCGACTGTCCTGGAAACATGAGTGAACCGTTGCTCCTTGGACTAACACCATAAATGCGGGGAATGCGCTAATCTGATCTGGTCATTTCCAAGATTATGACTATGATCCTGGCCATCTGGTTAAGGCCAGTCTCATACCCAATGTTAAACCATGCCTTCGACCAAGTGCAATTCCTTCTATGCGACTGGACATCGCCAACACACTGAAGTGAGTATGTGTGTGCTTAAAAGGGAAATTCCCGTCTGTTTTATGCAGAAATCTTTGAACCCGATTCACAGCCACTAATGCCTGCATAATCCATGCCGCTCCGTGCAGTTTGTAGACTATAATACGAGGTTCAAGCGAGATTTTCCGGCCATAATCTTGTTTACAAAGTGGAGCCTGACTACCACACAAGTGGCACAGCCATCCATGCGACACGGGCGAAAGGGGTGAGGGCCAGGGACGTAGCCAGGGTTTGCGACGTGGGGGGGGGATGATAAGTTTGCACGAGCGAGTCCCAGCCCCATTGACAGTACATCTACGCACTATGGACTGACCAACAAACCCCACAATCGTTAATAGGTACAGTACCTAGCGCATCAATGAGATTCTAATATTGGTTTGGCCTGTTGCCTTAAACAGTTCTTTCACCCGCGTACCGCACATGTTCACTCGGCTTTTTACGAGTCTTGCTACTTTTGAACCATTTTTGGGTTCTTCGTGTTACTGTCCATAGTAGTGTCTGGCATTTCAAATACAGGTCATTTGCCTGGTCACCAAACCCCGGGATTACATACATTAAAATCGTGGTAAAAAGACTGCTCCTGTGCCCAAACCATAGGCTCGAAGCTCACGGGCAGAGACGAATGGGGGCGGAGGGGGGGGGGGATTGGAGCCTCGGAGGGCCCTGCTGTTGGAGCTTCGGCGGGCCCTCGGAGGGCCGTCGAAAAACAGTAATGGCGGCGCCACCCCCCCTGGGGCAGCCGATGCAATGAAATGGGACCATGAAACGGGTCCATCCAGGTAGATCCGTGGTTATGGCCGGGAGAGGGAGATATCAGAGTGGTGCACGCAGTGCAGTCCTCGTCGGCCGTTGACCGTCCCTCTCACCCGCTCGGATTATGTCACGCTGGACCACAAAAAGGTGATTGTGAATAAAAACAAGCATGTGATAACGAAAGAATGAGCATGTCCGGGTCCAAGACGTTTTGCTCTCGTAATGAAAAACAAAACTGGTGATATGCAAAAGGGTCTGATTAATGCGCCTGATAGGTACGCGGAAATGACCCTTTCCTTGTGTCGCAGATCCAAGATCCAGCTGTGGTGGAAGCGGCAGCGCATACGGACGACGTGGAGGCCGCCTACCAGCAAGCAGCCGCGATGCCTCCGATGCCCATCCTGTTGTTGTTGATTGGGGCTTTAGGACGCGCCGACTATTGTGGTCATTTTGCGCCCGAGACAGCAAAATGGCTACCTACGACGGTAAATGACTAAAAAATATATATTATTCGGAAATGAAAATGGCTGATTTGTGTGAGGAACGCGTCGTTGATACGAAGCTTTCGGCAACCTAAAAACTTCCTACACGCGGTATGAACTATTCAGGCAGGTGTATATAAAGTGCAGAACTTAACATGCGATACGAACTTGGGGGTATGTTGGATATGTGGTGAGCTGTCACCTAGTAAATCGGAGAGCGTCAGGTACGGCGCCACCGGGCCCAAGAACCTCAGACGCTCGACGCGTAGTATGGGACAACATATGAGCACATGCTCCACTGTGAGCGTGGTGTTGCAGTGGCGACATCGTGGTAGTTCGTCGTGACATAGTAGGTATCGATGTGTAGCATTGGTATGGCCAATCCGCAACCGACACAGGATTACTTCCTCCCGTCTAGACTTTCGATAGGATGACTGCCATTCCTGAACAACTGGCTTGATGTTTTTCAGTTTAGTGGTGTCCATCGCATCCCATGTGCTCTGCCATTCCCCGCGCAAAAAGGCAGAGATGGGCGAGTACAGGTCTGTAGCGGGTATCGGAAACGCTCTGCGACAGGGACGACGAGTAGCACGCTTTGCAGCAGAGTCAGCCAGCTCATTTCCCGCAATGCCAACGTGGCTAGGAATCCAGCAAAGTACTATAGTCTTGCCAGCCCGGTACAGAGGGTCGAGACGCAGTAAAACATCCTGTATAAGGGGATTTACCGGATTAAAATGCCTTAGTGCCGAAAGGGCACTTAGGGAATCCGATAAAATCACGTGCAGACTGTCTTCGCCCACCTCTGTAAAGCAGAGCGCCTTAATGATGGCCACAAGCTCTGCAGTATACACGGACGCATGGGCTGGCAGTGTAAATGATCGCGCATAGGGGACCACACACAAAAGCGGAACCAACACCCGTATCCGTTTTCGAGCCGTCTGTGTACGAATTGTAAACCCCCGATATGTTTCGATATGCTTCAAAGCTGTTGATCTGGCAACGTACGGGATCATATTTTGCTTCTGAACCTCCGACAATGAGACGTCGACAGTTGGCGATACCATCACCCACGGA